CTGTGGTACCTTTATTGCAGCGTTGTGTATTGAATGACCACAATCAACCAAACTAATGGACTCCAATGCCAACTAATGTACGTTTCTCCATATCTTGCAAGGTTTGAAGATTACACACGCCTCTATACAACACTCAGCGAGGAAAACTGAATATTCACAAGGAATGACGTATAACTTCGATAACCAATCAGTGACTTACACATCGTCTGCCTCTACCAATTTCCTTTCCATGCAATACCAAAATCCATCACCACTGAGCCTCGGTATCATTCTAAGTTGTCTACGTTGTGGTGTTAAGTAGTTGAAGATGGAGAAAATGGCAAAACAGGTCTTTGGTTTGGAGTTATATTACATTATATCACTTGTATACCAGGGAGCTATTTTGTCTGTCTCTGGAGTTGAGACTTCATCTTATACAGGGGAATATACGTTTTATGCGGCTGAAAATCGTGCCGTGAGAGATTTTGCATTTGCTTCAAAAACTGTACAATCTCGTGTCATCTGCGGACGGGAATGCAGCATGGATGAACGCTGCAAGTCGTTTAACTTTAACGACTGCAGTAAAATGTGCGAGTTGAACCTTGCCACAAGACGAGAGCATCCCGAAGACTTCAATGCAACTCAAGGGAGTGTGTACTTTGATGCAGATGAGGACACACCTCTCTGCTCACTGACTGATAGTTCCTTCGATCGCTACAGAAGTTGCAAGATGCTCTTAGATGCCGGTTATTATTCAAGCGGTATTTTCACAATCTACCCAGAGGGATTCGGTAATGGCAGTCTTCGTGTCTACTGTGACATGGAAACTGACGGCGGAGGATGGATCGTGTTTCAGAGGCGACAAGATGGCAGTGTGGACTTCTACCGTAACTGGACCGAGTACCAGTCTGGCTTTGGCGATCTGTCCGGTGAGTTCTGGTTGGGCAATGACAACTTGGTGACTCTGACGTCTAATGATTCACGTGGAACATGGGAGCTACGATTTGATTTAGAGGACTGGGAGAACAACACGGCATGGGCAAAGTACTCAGATTTCCAAATATCCCCGGGTGAGTACAATCTGATCATCGGTCAATACGATACAAACAGTACTGCCGGTGACTCTCTTGGGTATCACAGAAGTCACTTTGGGTATCACAGAGGACGGCCCTTCTCAACAAAGGATCGCGACAATGATGATTTGGGTTCATCAAATTGTGCACAAACCTACACAGGAGCCTGGTGGTTTAATCATTGTTTTCTCTCTCACTTGAATGGTCCATATCACCCCTTTGGGCGTGTCCAGCATAGCATTGGAGTGCAATGGGTAACATGGAAAGGATATTATTATTCTCTGAAAACATGCAGCATGAAAATGCGTGAATTGAGACCATAAACCTCTGATACGTTGCAAACATGGCACTTGCAAATAAATTATAATGTTTTTTTTCACCAATGGAATATGACCCCAATGAGTCTTAAGTCGAATGAGATAGTTTTGAATATAAAGCCTTTTTGCAATTCAAACACACTGGAAAACAGTAGAAGCAGCCAACATTTCGTCACCATTTTCACGAAGAGCCACATAATTATTTAAAAAAATACAATATTTTCGTTTTCGATTTCGAATTTTTCACTTTTTTGCTTTGAAACATTGTACTTAACCATTTTGACATGTTTCTGTAAGCAAAATATCTTTGCTAATTATTTTTCACAAATTAACTACTGTATTAATTATAATTACTGGGATCACGTTCAAATTCAGCTTTCATAGAATCATATAATGGTTTTACTACTGCACAAAGTTGTTGCAAAGTGGTATTTTTTTACAGTTTGGAAATAAAAGAAACCTCTTTTGCGATTATCTCTAATAGACTTTTTCTTCAAAATCCTTACATATGGCTCTTTGTGAAAAAGGTGACGATTTTACCCATAATAATACAAACAAATATAAAGGTATGAAATGTAGTATAAAGAGAAATAGACTACCCCGACCCAAAGAGAATGTCTTGGTATTATTTTTGTGAAACGTTCATTAATATTGAACAAATGCATAGTGCATAGAGATTTTTTATGTCTATCTTTATTTTCAAAGAATTCACTTATGCCTCCTTGAAATATTAAAGCTTTTTGGTCTGCTTTTGCAATAGTCACTAGGACAGTTTACTAATTGCCTTACAGTAATTCGTAAACGAGAGAGTTTACAATTAATGGTTTTGTCGTCATGCAATTAACATGTAATAAGTTACATGAAAAGTGGAAGTTCAAAAGGAAAAACCAATGCTAGTTGATCTGAAACTGAATATGTCCAGTTTTTAAGGCATACATGCACTCTCTACTTTGGTTAATATGAGGTTTTCTCGTCCAATTTCAAACCACGCTCATGCGGTCTTGCAACTTTCATCCAAAGCACATGAAAAAGGCTAAAAATGCCCCCCCCCCCCAATCAAAATATTTCATTGTATCTTTGTCCATGAGTGAAAAGTGGGCAGCAAATCACATAACTCGGGCATGTAATTTGAGAGCTTTGGATTGCAGTTCCGCCCATGTTCAAATTCAGTGAAATTTGTTCAAGGCATGTGTCAAAATGACCGTTAAGAAAGGTTTATCAAGGAATGTACAGCCGACTAGCCTTTTATAAGAAAAGTATGATGGCTTGAGAAGAATGCACAACACATTTCGTACACCTTAAACAATTGGAAAGTGTCAATGTAACAGAAACAGATAAGGTGGACCTTGACGATAAAACTAGATAAACTTAACACATTTATAGATTGACACCGAAGTGGTTCTTTCATAAGAGGTGTGATCATTTCGATGAATTGGAACCTCAAAAAGAGATATTAAAAATCACAGCCATTTCTTTCAATAAAACCACGATATGTTTCAACGAAACTGATATATTTGAAAGCCAATGCGATTGACGTTTAGCATAATGCAATTTCCACATGACGTTGAACCATAATGTCATTGCCCTTGAATGAATACTTGTATCAAGTTCTTCTATTTCGTGCTAATTCCAAAACCAACTAACACAATGAGATTTGCTTGCACGAAAACTTTAAAGACAAGCTTGTTTCATAACATTTATGGAATTGAAAGCTCTACCTGCTAATTAGAAACCGTATTCATACTCGAATCCCTGACACCTCTCAGAAATGGAATGAACATTCTTCCTGAATGAATGAACAAGTTGCGAATTTGAACGGGAAAACCTTTAATTTGAAGAAAAATGAATTATCTCAATATTTACCTTAAACGACGACTACTTGTTTGGAGTGTAAAACAAGGTAGCCCGACCTATATATAGACTATTTGGGGTGGATCTAAATGTGACATTTTGCTTGTCTGCTTGTATAGTTACTGCATTATATAAAATTAATATTGACCTAAGGCATTGAATAACCTGAGCGATAAGAACCAAACTCAGTGTTATTCATTCTTATCAATAATTCTTGTCTAGCTTGTATATTGCGGCACAAAGAAAACAGGTTCGAATGACCTATGACGTTGAATAAACCGAGTGACGAGAACCAATCCATGATTGATTTTTACCGATTTATTAAAAGTTTTCGGGTTTTTTTAAGAGTTCGATTCTAGTACTGTGTGAAGCAGCTGTGACACGCTGAGGCTATGCCTCAATACAAGTATATCTACCCGTCCATCTACATGCAGGGTGTATCAAAATAAAGGTAATCCAAAAACAATGGGCTCACGTGTACACGCTAGAAAATTGTACAATGTCAAAGAGGTTTCATCTTAAATATTAGTTCGTGTACCTATTCACTCACAGATGACCGAGCACCATTGATTACAAAACAAAGGCAAACAAACCTGTTTGTCCAAATTCGCTGTATACGTGATAGGGTACATTGTTGCCCGTAAATAAATTAATAATTCCAAAGATTTAATGAGGCCTTTCTCAATTGAAATGACGGTGATTGTTCTAAAAATATCACTATTGTTTTTCACTGGGTATCAAAAAAACAATATTTGTTTTTAAATAAATCAAGAAAACTCGGATCTGGGTTCCTCTTGAAAGCAACGAAACTGTAAAGTTGGCAATAATTCACCAACCAACTTTCCTCTTCGGCTATGACATGTATTATACTACAGTTTAAGAGTGCTGCTATTTTTAATGACAGTACCGCATTATGACATACAGCGCCAGTCAGCAGGCTAGCTGTATACCTTGGCATCGAAGAAATAATTTCGTACTGTCTACAGCCGAAGAGTGTAGTCATAGTAACTATCGCAAACAACAATACTCCCCAGCCTGACCTACTTTTATTAAAATCGCCGGACCAAAATATCTATTGTAGGAGGTCAACTGGTTATCATCGGTACTACTTCGTAATTAAGAATGCTGCCGAAATTCAAGGCGTCTTCATTAAGTGATGGTTGGTGGAATCCAGAAGGGCTCTCTTATTAAATATTGAGAAAGCATCCAAAGGGCGTGAAATTGATATAAGAGGCTGCATATTTAATGTTACAGAAATGACTTCGATATGATTATCTACACCAGATAAAAACCCAACGCTATATAACGTTTCACCGTATCGTACAACGCGAGAAGATGACACTTTCCAGTCTGCGTCACAACGTTTAGCCAATCAGAGACTAAGGTCTGTCACTGACGGGGAAAATTACCAACAACAAGGTATGACGCATTACCCCTGTAGACCAATCAGGGACTTACACATCCTCTGGTTCTTAGCATTCCTTTCTTTGCAATAACAAATTCCATCTCCGCCGATCATCGATATCATTCACGTTATCTACGTTGTGATGTTAAGAAGTTTCACATGGAGAAAATGGCGAAACACAACTTTGTTTTATTAGAGTTATTTTACATATCGTCATTGGTATTCCAGGGAAATATCTTGATTGTCTACGGATTGAGAACTTTATCAAATACTGGGGAGCATACATTTTATGCTGCTGAAAGTTGGGCATTAAGAGAGTTTGCATATGCTATGAAAACTGTGCGATCTCGTGTCATCTGCGGACGGGAATGTAGCATGGATGAACGTTGCAAGTCTTTTAACTTTAACGACTGCAGTAAAATGTGCGAGTTGAACCTTGCCACAAGACTAGAGCATCCCGAAGACTTCAATGCAACTCAAGGGAGTGTGTACTTTGATGCAGATGAAGACACACCTCTCTACTCACTGACTGGTAGATCCTTGAAGCGCTACAGAAGTTGCAAGATGCTCTTAGATGTCGGTTATCGTTCAAGCGGTATCTACATAATCTACCCAGAGGGATTCGGTAATGGCAGTCTTCGTGTCTACTGTGACATGGAAACTGACGGCGGAGGATGGATCGTGTTTCAGAGGCGACAAGATGGCAGTGTGGACTTCTACCGTAACTGGACCGAGTATCAGTCTGGCTTTGGCGATCTGTCTGGTGATTTCTGGTTGGGCAATGACAACTTGGTGACTCTGACGTCTGATGATTCACGTGGAACATGGGAGCTACGCGTTGATTTAGAGGACTGGGAGAACAACACGGCATGGGCAAAGTACTCAGATTTCCAAATATCCCCGGGTGAGTTCAATCTGACTATTGGCCAATACGATACCAGCAGCACTGCCGGTGACTCTCTTGGGTTTGACGACAGTTATGCCGTGTTCAGGTATCACAGAGGACGTCCCTTCACCACAAAGGATCGTGACAATGATGCATCGGTTTTCAATTGTGCACAGAGGTGGGGAGGAGCCTGGTGGTTTAATGATTGTTTTATTTCTCACCTGAATGGTCCATACCACGCATTTTGGAATGCGGGATATGCCAAGGGCGTGCAATGGGAGAGATGGAAAGGGTATTCTTATTCTCTGAAAAAATGCAGCATGAAAATGCGTGAATTGGAACCATGATTTTGTGTATTAGTTGCAGACACTATACTAGTCTTGCAAGTAAACTGAAATGGATATTTTACCTATGTATGGAGGGGGCACGAGCACTTCCCCAATGACATAGCGATTGGGGTGGGTGTTCGAGTGCTGCCCCCCCCCCTATTAAAAAACATAAACAAAGAATAGGGAAAAAAAAGAAAACTGAAACGGTTATTGGGCTTTATTTAGTTTGGAAAATTTCACAATTTTAAGTATTTGGCAAATGCTATGCGGCACTGAATATAACACACACATTACACATAATAAATACATGTATTTTGTACATAGACCAATCTATAATCGCCTACACCCAAAAAATGGCAAATGATGTCCAATCGTCTGCTCCCCCTTTATGCACTTTGATAAGCCCCACCCTGAAGAGTTACTATCTGCGCTACTGCTGGGTAACAGCAACTGCACTGACACCCCAACCCCTCCCCCCCAAAAAATAAACATAAAAATAAAGTAACATTAATAAATTGATAAAATAAAATAGGAAGGAAAGGAAAGAGAGCAGTTATTTATTGGGGAATGCAAGTAATTAATTGTGCCCATCTGTACATAGAACACGAATCTCCCCTGAATGGCACCACGTCGCTGGAATCATGCAGTTCTTGTGAAATATTATAAATAGGTTCAATTTAAGGAGTGGGATCACCTCTTTAATAACGAAAACTTGTAAGCGAATTGAACGTTTCCTGAGCATTATTGTATTGAACGTACAATTTAATTTATCTTTATGATCTATCGATTTTAATATGGCAGTCAAAAACAACAAATTATTTGAAACTGTCTAGTGCTATTAGGACAATGGACATATTTCCAAATGTTTTCAGTCTTGATGGAAAAACATATATCGTACAAGTACGTTTTATCAGTTAAATATAATTCAACAATAATATCAATTCAAAACTTTGGTTTCGAGTTTTTGCTCCTACCAAGGAATACAAGTGAAAAGCTTTTCCATTAATATCCGACTTGAAAGACATCGTAGTTCAATTCAGAGATTTGCAATTTCAGCTGTTGTACAATGTGGTTTCGTAGTTGCGCAGAAACTGTCAAACAAGAAACAAATTGGGAAAAAAATGATACCATTATTCATTAGTAAATCTGAAACTAAAAATGTCACAAAATGTTAGTAGGCACTGTCTACTTTCGGATACCAATTTGAGAAAATCAAATTACTCACATTTGATTATCCTTGAAAGAGAATTAACAGTATGGAGTATAAAGATACACGGATCAGAAAACTGGAATAACTTGATTTGATCTAAACGCATTTAGTTAGCTATCTTGCCTGTACATTGCATAATATAATGACGTTAAATTACCTGAGTGATTAGAACCAAACCATTTTTGCTTCTTATCACTACGTTTGCTGTTTTCTATTTCACTTGTATATTGCGTACTAGAAAAATAGGTTCGAATGACCTATGACGTTGAATAAACCGAGTGACAAGAACCAATCAATGATTCAGTTTTCCCGATATATTGAAAGTGTTCTGTTTGCAAAATTGTGATTCTAGTAATAGGCCTACTAGTGTTTAGCAGCTGTCAGGATACTCGGGCTGTACTTCAAAATAATGTGTCTACACTCAAATATACAGCTTCGTACAGGAGGTGTCATTGATACCCGGTACTCTGGCAGAATATAGTATTCAGTAATTCGGCGAATCAAGAGGACCACAAGAACTATTACGCCCTCTACAAAAATGCGACTTCAATTGTTATTTTCTTTATTGATACCAGAAGAGGAAAGAAGTCGAGGTTTTTACGTTGATGCTAAACACACTCTTTTTCATCTTGGAGACAGGTGATATAAATATAGAAAGAAGCAAATTAATAAAATGAGGAAAGAGCGTCCCCAAGAGTTAAATGGCATTCAACTCCTCCAACCCCCAGCTCGCTTTTCACAATTGAACAGTGGCCTGTAGTCCCCCCCCCCCCTACTTCGGTCGGTACACCGCTGTGGTACGAACATTTGCCTTTCCTTTTTCACAGCATCTCTATTTTTCACGAGTTCCCCTTTCTGACGTTCCGCGATCTTACTTAAAGAAGAGCGCCACCTATTGTCCAGTAATGTCCGCTTTGAATGACGCCTCCATATAAAGATGATTTGGCGCCCCCTTCCATTTCAACATTCTACCCCCCCCCCCGGTGGCCATGCCGCTGTCTACTGCACGCCGCTGTCTACTTTTATTGTTCTACTAAAACATGAACCACAGAGTCTCACTGTATGGTTGCGTTCGTTTAAAAGCTCATCCGGGTCCACACGGGTGAGCCCCATGCCGTTCGGTTAGCTCTGACGTCATTGTCGGTCTTCAGCCGGGTCAGCCACCACATCAGACCCTGCTCGTGGAGCAGAGTCACTGCTGGAAGTACGACACGCATGCGTTGTTCATTCCCTAGAAACGAACAAATATGGCGGCCTGATTCGACAACGAAAACCTCAAGTGGACTCAAAAGTTCACTTTATTTGAAGTCTAATGGTAATTAAGGAAATTGCGACTTTGGAGGCTTTAATTTTAGCTCTATTCTTTTTGAGTTTTGCAATTGACTAAAAATCAGTAAATCCCAAACTAAGGCCCAATCCGAAATGGGTGTTTTGTCAGTGGCTACGGCCACGGCTACGGGCGTCACGTGAGGATTGTGATGACCCTAGGTTGAGCGTTCGATTAGCCCGGCTGTCATGGCTGACCCGTCTGCCTTTATACCCGTTTCGACCCGGGTAAGCTAAAAGAACGCACCCTTTGATTGCATGATGACGAGAGGAACAGCGCACATCCAATCTATAGAGGGCGGAACACAATTCACACGTTATCGAGAACAATTCCATCCATTCAGGGGAGACATCCAATCTATAGAGGGCGGCAAACAATGTATACCGTATTCCGAGGACCATCCTATCCATTCAAGGGAGCAGCGCACATCCAATCTATAGAGGGCGGCACACAGTGTATACGTTACCTTGAACAATTGCATCCATTTATTAGGGGAACAGCGCACATCCAATCTATAGACGGCAGTACACATGTACAAGATGTACAATGCAAGACATCGCGCCTCTTTGACCTCTGGATTTTGACCAATAAGCGGGCGGTTTCGATATTGAGTCATCCGTCATTCACCCGTAGTCTAGGTTTCAAAGATCCATGTCAGGCCGTTATTGTATTACAAAAAACTGCTTTCAAATCGACCACTTCCAATCCGACATTTAGTCCTGTTTGGAAATGAAATGGCGTCACGAGTTAGTTAGTTAGGTCGACTTCTACAAGTACACGTAGACAAGTGCATCTCAGTGTACTCGTACATCGGATAAAAAATATGAAACAATTCTGTGGAGGTCAAAAAAAAATATGGCAAGAAAAGGGCAACCCATTGATAGACCGCGCGATGGTTCCGGAAGCTGTGTGACCTTTTACTTTCAGACTCTATTCCAGGCGCGGGTAAAGTATGTTGACTTAAGGGAAAACTCAAAATGGTGAAGTTTCTACAGTAAACTTTGTATGAAGAAATGGAGTCTGAGATTCTGAATTCACTCTAAGGGATCATATAGTCACTTATCGTGATCGCTATAACTTGCATTTTTGCCATGTTTACTACACATTCTTTGGAAAAAAACAATTGCAAACTACAAGTTCGCGTTTCTTGAGATACAAACGCAGGGTGGTCGGGCAGACATGTACTTCATTCGACACTGCCCAATAGAGTTATGAATATCTTTATGACGGAACAAAGGATCAAGATATGTTACACACAGTGAATTTGTTTTAGAAAAACATTCATCCTGTAAGGTATCATACACATCAATTAACATTTTGTGTACACGTACAAGTTTGTTTCTGGTTCGATGACGTCATCAGTCAGGTGGAAGTGAATGCTGATTTAGTTCGGAGAGGATATAATATGTTCATTATGACGTAAAAATACCGTATGAAAATATGGATAATATATTAAAGTGGACGTATTAATACCACCCATCCTCAGGTTGATGACATCACATCATCAGGGATTCAAAATGTCAATATTGTAATGGACATCATAATACATGTAGTAATAACATTGGGCCGAATGACAGAATTAACTTTATAAATGATCGTTTTGAAATTCCCCCTACAGTTACCTCCGGTCTGATGACGTCATGATTGTACATTTATCCGTTGTTAATCAAATAATATCAAGGGGCGATTTGAAAATATTTGGACGGATGATTTAAATTAAGAAAAAAAATCTATGCATTGTGTACACACCCGGAGTTGCACCGAAAATAGCCATTTTTTTAAAAATCTAGTTCAGCTTGATTGTATTGTCATTTGCTTGACTGTTAAACGACATCTCCTGTCGTTGGTGAGTGTTCACTTGTAATTAAAATGTAAGCTGAAAATATCGGCCCTAAAACTGAATTTTAGCTGACTAAGTCGGTGATTTCAGTACTGGAGAGTCTCCATGTCATGAGTCTAGAACGGGGTATTTGAAACTAATGTCAAATTCGGTGTGACGGCCGGTTTGAAAAAAAAAAAACCGCTTTTTCCGAAACCCTTGGACACTAGGTTTACGAGATGATCTTTACCTTCCAATACACATTCGATTGCATGGCGTGATCAATAAACATCGAACTAGCTGAATAATCATGATCCATTGACGATGTGTGCTGCCGAAAAAAACACCGCTCGTCGCGGAAGTCGCCATCTTGCTTTGCTCCGATTTCTTGCGCGTGCTTGTGACGTCACTTCGTCTAAACAGGATGCTACATTGGTCCATATTCACAACATGCAATGCATTATGCATGACAAATTAATGCCTGCACCAAATCGGTAGATAAATGTAAAGAAGTACATAATCGTTCTTCACGAGATGGTACAGGCACTCGTGGCTTCGCCGATCGCACTGGTCTGTTTTCGTGCCACCAGCATCAGGGGAACCACGCGTCCGGGTCAAAGCAACGCGCGCCTTGACTAAAGGCTAGTCTGTCCCCGTAAATT